TCAGCAATCTTCTGCTTCTCAGCTTCCAGAGCCTCCAGTATCTTTGCATGACGAATAGTATGGTCTTCTAGAGCCTGGGGAAAAATGGGCAGTGATTAAAAAAAACCCTAAAAATTTAAAATTCTTAATGCTGTTCATTGAAGTTAAATTTTATGTTCCTGTCATTTTAAAGACTCTCAGAATAAAACTAACAACAGGCACCTGCTATATTGCTAGGAAATCCTTCATTTTCAAACTCTGACATTTTTCTGAGTTTGCTTCAACATTGCAAAGCTTAAAAAATACTGGAATTAAAAAAAGGAACAACTTTTAAAAAATTAAGTCATATTTGTTGCAGCGGTCAGATATATATCAACACCAGCCAGGAACCAGACGTTGTTTACATTAATGCCTGGAGTAATGACTTTTGCCACAGGCAACAGTCTCTAAAGTTTGGTACAGAAAAAAAACCATCCATGTTATATAAGAAATAAAGTCAGCATTAGTTAATCCCCAACATTAATACAACATCATACTCAGAATGCAGACTAAGTATCAGTTCTTCTGCATAAAATCATGTAGAAGAAAAATACTTCAAAGCATTTTCCTTTAAAGTAATTGTTTTAAAAAAAAAAAACTAACAGAAAAAAGCCCCCCCAAACAAATCAGTTTATTGCCTAAAGAGCTGCTTTATTTAAAATTACCTGCTTGGTAGCCAAGGTCTCCATTTCTAAACGTTTCTTATTGAATTGTAGTTCTAGCTCAAGGTTTTGCTTTGCCTTCTCTAGCTCCTGTATTTTAGTTGCAGCTTTTTGATTATTCATTTCTTGAATTTGCTTCTTACGAGATTCTTCTCTCTGATAATAAAAAGGAGAGATGAGAGGAGGAAAACCACTTCTACAGCATTTCTGACCCATCCCTTACACAGATATTAAGGTTTATTTCCACTTCCAACACTTAAAACATGCAGTCCCTACAGCCTACACAGCCCAATGTCAGCAATGAAAGGTTATATCCAACATCACAAGCATCACTGTCTCCCACAGAATGTTTAAAAAATAAGATACATCATCTTTATTATTTTACCATGATGTACATGCTATGCCAATATACACTCTATATTGTAAAAGTGTTGAAAAAACTAACAAAGTAGCATGCCAACTTGGAGAGAAAAAAAGCCATATTAAGTAATATACTGCAGTAATACACTATAGTAATTTAAAAATCGCATGGAATAATTCTGTAGGTATTTTTCTTTGCATGCAAGTTACAATCCCTGGAATAACTCTGAAGGGGATACCTACTTGACAACTTCTTGTGTTACTAAGACTGACTTTGTTATTTTTTAAAGAATGAGGCCTAGCATTCCCTAAAATACTTAGAATATTCAAGACAAAAAAACCCACACCATAAACAAACCAACCCCAACCAAGCACCAAACAGATACCACAGACTACAGTTTCTGTTATTGATATGTTTGATGTAATGATGAGATGGCAACTTACCACCTCTGCTTCCAGTGATTTTATTTTGCTTTCATAAGCTTCTTTTTGTGAGGTCAGCTCTTGTTGAACCATCTCTTTTGCAATTTGGACACTTTGCATCATTTCTTCCTTGGCTTTGAGCCGTGCCTCTTCAATTTCTGATTCAAGACTACAAGTATCATACATTTAGAACGCTGCCTTTAATCTCTTATAGGCTGTATAGAGACTATCAACTTTTTATTCCTATCATGAGGGTTTGTTAAGGTTTTTTTTTTGAAGAACGATTTTCACACTTCACCTATTTTACATTTCATAGGGAAAATGTAGACACTGGTAAATATGAAGGGCATTCCAGAATGTTTAAGTCCACTCTATTTCCATTTTCATTTTATTACATCACTTTCACAAAACTAAGAACTGTAATGGAAACCCACTAAATCACATTAAGATGGGATAAGTAAATTTTAAGTCAGTGAGTCTGGCACTCTGATAACTCCCAGGAATGAAGCAAGTACAAATAACACTTCACCATCTCTCAAATTCTCCCTCATCAGATACGACTTCAGGTTATAACTTCAGGTTCTTCCCATTTTCCTAAGGCATTTATTTTTCAGGGTTTAAATCTCTCTAAAACATCAAAACTAACTTTCAGACTCATATGCTTGGAGAGAAACACAACCCAAGAGATACACTACTTTGAGGACCCATGGAGCTCAGTGTTTCTTTAATCGCGGTCTACATTGTTGGTAAGTGGACTAGCATGTGGTGATTGAACCTTAGAGGTACACTTTCATTTCAGCTAAGTCTAGGACTTCCATTTCCATAACAAATAGAGTTGCTATTTTCCTATTTTCCTTTATTGTGAAATAACTGAAGGTTATTAATTATTTCTTAAACTAATTGCACGGTTGAATTAACAATTGCATTTATCTCAAGAACAAGAAGAACTAATGCTTACTGTGTTCTCTGTGCAATAAGCAGCTCATTCTTTGCAAATTCAAAATCTTTTGGACCATCATGCAAACACGTAGTCCCACAAGAAGGTGTTTTAACTTTCTGAACCTCTGCTGGATGATTAAACCTGAAATAATGGTCTCCTCCAAGGATCACTCGATCACCCTATTGGGAAAAAAAGAATTCTTCTAAAAATTTAAATTTATAAGCAAAAATTTTCAGCACTTAAAACACAGCAGGCAGAGCTAGAAATCAAAGATGAAGAGACAAATATTTACAGTTACAGAGCCTTCTAAGAAAACTGCAGTCTGAAGTTGAAATATTAAAAAGCAAAGAAATTCACACATGCACATATTACTATTACTAAATCAATCACTTACATGATGCAGAACTGTTGGGTTCAAAATGCATTTCCCATTTACATATGTCTTTGCTTCTCTCAATGGAATAATACTTACTTGGCCAACAGCATTTTTTATAACACTGAAAACAAGAAACATTTACAGTATCAGTAGTTCATAATAATTGCAAGTGCTATTTCTTAATAGACTAAAATTCACGCTTTAGAGATTGTGTTCTGTTATTGTCTTTCCAGATGTGTATTGTCTTCATACTATTTAGTCACAACACACACACTGAAGAAATGACAACCTACATTTTGGAAGGGAACCTATACTAAAACTCAGAATCCACTGCTAAAAAATTACTACAATACCCTGAGCATTCCTTTCATAACACTTAATTTCCCAACATATCTGCATCTTTCATGGGTTTAGTAACTGATTAGCTAAGTTTCTTACAGCTTTTTGTCTGCGATCAATTGCACAGAATGCACTTTAAACAATATTTCTGCAGTATGGCCAAGTTGATCTCTATTTTTACTAACGTAAGAACTGTCAAGACATTTCACTTTTTTATTGAACTTAATGTAACAGAGTTATATACCACAAAACATCATTTGATCAGGTCTAATTCATGCAGAAATGCTGCAGAAGATTTTGCTACGTGAATGAGATGAACAAAGAAATTAAACTATCCCAGTTAACAGATTTCTTAGAGGGAACAGAAGGAAGCTGCCTTAATCATTGATCAGTAAAAAAAATATCCCTAAATGTTATTTTCTTGGCTAAAAAACCTGTTTTTTTTACTGCCAGAAGAAAGAGTGACTCCAAAAGAAAGGGAAGAGGGAGAAGAAATTTTAAGTATAAAAATAATACTACATACCAATGGTCATCAGCAATCAGCACTCCAGAAAGCTGGATATCGTGTCTTGAATTTGGTGTACACCTTCCAACTGTAGTTTCTCCTTCTTTGATCATATACAACAGCACCTCAGAAAGTTGAGGATCTTCATTGAGATTGACAAGGTTTGGTAAATGATTGTCCATTTTGAATGCAATTCCAGCTTTCTAGATAAAAGAGAGCTCTGCATAAAAATACAATTTACTTTGTGCATTCAAATATTAAATCTTCCTAAGTCACAGCGGTATGTTAAAAGAATAGTCTTACAGAAACCAAATCTTACAGCAACTCCCATTATTCTACAAGGTTTGCTGATGTTATATTTTCTGTACTATCTCCTATAGAAAGAAAAATGTACCTGCAGTTCCTCTATATCTTCCAGTTTCCTTTTTTCTGCTTGTTCAAATTTTTCTTTCCAGGCCCTTAATATATTAAGAGAAAATAACGCAACATATTAGGAGAAAAATGACAGTATATAAGTCTTGCCATTTCTATTTTAAATTAAGACATTCATGACTGCCTGACCTTTGCATTTCTGCCATGTTCCTCTCCTGCTGGTGCAGTTCTACCCTCAAAGATGTTATTTCCTGCAAATAACGCCTGTATTTTTCACGATCAGTGTTTAGAGCACTTTTCTGAGCTGCCTTCATCCTTTCAATTTCAGCTTTCAATTCTGCATTAGACAAACAGACACACAATTCACATTAGAAATGAAGACAAAATAGGGTGTAGAAATTTCAGTACAATAGTAGAAAATTCATCCTGTTACTCAATTAAAAAAACAAAACACATTTCCCTGTTCCAGGTTCTCAAGTGTAACCTAAGATATCACTTAAACTTTGGAAAAAAAGAGTTCACAAAGAATAATGATATTAAAAGGAAGAAAATCCCAAGTTGTATTAGCCTAGTTGACAAGCGATCAGTCAAACCAACAGATTATTAGTAGTAAGAACTCCTATGAAGCAATAAGTTAAACACATGTGAAAAACCCTCAAAGACTGCAGATGTCCATCTCACCTCTGATTAGCTTCACATTTACATCTTCATTTACTTTAGCAATGTTGATAATTGAACAAGCCTGCTTTGCATAGCGGAGGGTGCTGAGCGTTTCCTCCATACTGCTGGCAGCTGGACTCACTGTAGCAATCATCGTCGTTTGGGAATTCCCACCAAGACTTTCCTTCAACAACCTTCATTTGACAGAAGAATACAAGTCAATCCACTGAGAGAAAAATTCACAACTTCTCAAGCAGAACAGATTAAATTAAAATACCCAGGGTCTTGCTACTTATTTGAGAGGGACTGTTAGCTACTTAAAAAACAAACCAAGGTCCTGTTTGTTCTTCATCTGATGCAACAGGCTAATTTCTTCCTTCCATAGATCATTTGAGAGAAAGAGAAAAGTGATGCCTCGTGAACAGATAAAGAAAAACACAATCTCAAAAAGTCTTTACTTCTATATACAAAAAATTCTTAAGTGTACATACCAAGTAAGGACAGATTCCCGGTAAGGAATGAAAGTTTTCTTTCCATTTTGAAATTGTTTAGAGAGTGCAGAAATAACCCTTCCAAGGGTTAACAGCGACTTATTGATACTCACACCTTCCTACACAAAGCAGAAATAAAAATATTTATAATACAGTTGCATCTTCTTGTGTGATGTTATTGACTGTACTGTTAATTATGCTTGTTCAATGTATGGTGCAGCTGTACCACATTAAACGTTACCACTTATTAACTTATTAAAACAACAATAAGATGCAAAAGCAATCTAGAAGATCTTCATTTGGAAAGAACAAAGACCTTGCCTTTAAAATAAGTGGTGTTAAGAGCAATCAAACTTATGAAGGCAGCTTGAAATAAAGTCTCTTATTAGAAACGCTATTTAATTAGATTCCCCCAAAAAGGGGCAAGACCCAACTCTCTGTGATATTTGATTCACTATTTGCCAAGCCATGCCAATAGTTTTCCCTCACTCCTCCTGCAGGATCATTAGACCTGCATAGCATGGGAAGTGCTGTTCTAAGCAAGATGTGCCATACTGCACAGTGCAAACACCTTCTTCAGGCCACCCACCCTCACGGCAAAATGTGATTTAATACTTATAAGGGCTACATACATCCTTTATAGCTACAGTTCCTGCCCAAGAGTCCCATTAGGTGAGCATGGTTTGGAGTTAAAGGATATTATTAGGAGTCAATCCTTCTCCACAGATTTCCAGTCCTGGTTTACCTTCAGCCTCTCTCCAGTGGTCTGAGCTTTCGCACAGCACTCACTGCCAGCGAGATCAATTAGATTGATGTGACTGGTAAGCCTACGATCACACTGTTCTTCATTCACAAATTCTACCTGGAAAAAAAGGGACATGTTGGCATTCAAACCAAAATAAAAAGCCTGAGGACAAGCAGAAATCTGATAAGGTGTTCACAGTAAATACATCAAAAGTTCCTTCTAATTTTTGGCAGGATATTCTCATGTACATCCCTTGAAGGAGATGAAGTTCAGATTTTAACCACAGAATTAGCTAGCTGTGGCTGACTAACTACATAAGCATAAACTGCAAACTTCTGTGGGTTTGGGTCCGAAGTTTGGTTATTGCAGTTATCCAAAAAACAAAGTCAGTAAGCTGTTACTGACTTAGACTAATCAAGATCAGGTCAGTAGAAAAGGCTCAAGACTAGTTATGATAGAGAAAAATCAACAATCTAGTGGTGAGAATGGCAAGGGGGAAGAAGGAAAGAAGATCAGGAAACTGGAATGAAAAATTAAACCAATCAAGAACAAAAAAACCCCACAAACCAACAAGTTATTTGTGCACAGAGAAAATTGACAGTCTGCAGACTCCTGAGGAGCTCTACCTAATTCACTTCTGTCTTCAGGCTCAACTCAATAAGTCGGGTTTTGTCTTTTAAGCATCTGTAAATCAGATGAGGAGTTGTAGTCCCTATGTCCTAGAGATACATGGGGGAGGAGAGGCATCCTGAAGCAAGGAAACATTTGTTCAGTAAATTGTGTTCAGACTGAGCAGAAACTGCATCTCCTACCATTGACCCAGTCCGTCGCTTGCATGAACTCAGCACAGCTATGCACCTCACACAGCCTAACCTTCTCAGAAGCTGTGTTGGCAACAGTGTGAAATTTGGTCTGGCCTCAATTAGGATTCCTGTTATATCTCAAAACTCACACTGAGAAGCTTGGAACTACTCCTAGATCTGTCAGTCTAGACATATTTATATTGCTGCTATAAATACAAGTAGCACAGAGACACAAGAATCTACTCAAAGCATGTAAAATAAAACAAGTTTTGCTGTGTAGAAAGCCCCATTAAAATGCCCTGTGCTTTTCTCAAAGATCTTCAGGTATATTCTCACAGCTTTCTAGGTAGCACACAAAACAACTTTTTACTACCTCATCTGAGCAGCTATAAAAAGAGAACAACCTGGCAATACCTTGGTTTGCGTCATGACAAGGGTGAAGACAGAATGAGATCTAGAGCTCTTGTCATTCATTACTGTAGCAGCCGTTGCTCTCTGCTTATTTCCTAGTTCAAGCCAACTCTGTAAGAAACGAAAGTTAGGATGTGAAACCAAAACCTGCTTTGGAGTTAATTGAAGATTTTTATGTTTGCCAATAAAGTTATTAACAAAAATCATGACTATATGGGAGGAACAAAAACTTGACTTTAAGAGATAACCATGTGAAAAGGGACACTTAACTGTATGAATCTACTCAGCTCCATTATATAGGACTAGTCTTCATTATCCTTTTACAAAAACAGTTGAAACATCACAGACTACTGGACAGTCTACACTTTCTTGCCATCCATAGAATTTATTTTTCAGCAGTGAAGAAAGGAGCAAGTAGAAATATTTGTATTCTCTTTTAATAACCAAATAACTCTTACCTGAATATCAGAGTAAGAACGAACAACATTCCTAAGGTGGGGGGAAAAAGAAAAGTTTGGGTTCAGACAGTTTTCTTTCTACAGTTTTTCCTGCTGCCTGAGTTCTGAAGCATTTCCCCAGTTACAAACAAAATACAAACACACAATGAAAGCGTCAGTTGTCTTGAGACTTTCACACACTTATTTCACTAGGGCAATACACCACAGGTATGAATTTTTCTAAAACTACATGACACTGAGATCTCGCTTGATTTACTGGTGAGTACACAAGCTTGCACAGAGCCTCAAGATAACTATTGCACTCTTTCTGGATTACACCACACATCTTTTAAAGTAAGAACAGTAAAGACTTACACTGTCAGGCCTTCCACATATGGTCCTAACACTGGATGTTCTCTTACACGAAGCTGGTGAGAATAATTTCAAAATACAAATTATTAGGAGTGCAATAGTTAGATCTGGCACTCAGGACTATCTTAAAAGAAAAAAACATTCTGCAACATAAATCTATTATGTTTCCAAGTTAAGTAGCTTACCTTGAAATTACTGACAAAACTCACTCCTGCTTTAGACAAGACAGTATAGTCTTAATTTCTATAAAACAAGTCCACAATAAGTCTCAAGCTTAGGTTAAAGGACTTAGTTCAACAGCAAGTTGAACATACTGTATCATCTTTATCATAAACTAATATTCAGTTTACAGAAAAGTGGCCAGTATATTGTTCAATGTCAAAGAGCAGAAAATACTTTTTTTGATAAATCAGACGTAATAAATTCCTTCCTACGTACCCTATGTAAGACAAATTTCTTTATGTTTTTTCTTATTCTAACACACAAACACTAAAAACTAGCTAAAAACTAGTTTAACTAGTGATATAGTGATATTTTTATTTGTTTTTTTACTTGATTCCCATTATTTGCAACTAAGTTACTTAGATGGTAAATTAATAATCATTTGCCAATTGTGCATTTTTGTTTACAGAACAGATGCCACTGCTTGGAGCTTATGCATATACTTGTTTCTGTGAGCAACTTACTTGTTTTTTCTGCCCATTTTCAGCTTTAAAGACAAGCAAATCATGGATTTTCTCGTTGTATATTTCAAAGAAGCTCATTTCAAGATGATACAGGATCTAATAAAATTAATAATAAAAGAGGTATTAATATGGTCCACAAAACATTTTCATTATTCTGAGTGAGGGTTGTTATTTTTTATTTCAGCAAGAATACTGAGCTAGAATAGGAATACTATTGAAGTGCATTTTGCTTTGATACATGATGTTTAACAATAAATTCATATTTTTTGAGTTCTATTCTACTGCCTCCACTGCAAGTATGAAGCCCATTGGGATTTATCTTTACTTACATAAATCTTATCTTGTAAGACATGCAATACAGAGAAAAGAATCCTAATCTAGTGATATATTAAAAATATCATGCCCATTTTTTTTTCACATTACTGCCATTAAGGAAGTAAAACAATATTCATTTTGACTGCTTAGCCCTGTTAGTCAGAGCTACTAGCAGAAATAAGATTTGAATCAGCAAAAGAATAAGAACATAAATAAACGGATTAGCACTAAGTTATCAGTTTCCTCATATTCCAATGTGAGGTCAATAGCATAAGCACATCACCTGTTCCTTGTCCATTTGTGCTATTTGATTGAAAAGATCTTCACAAAGTCTTGGAATTATTCCTCGGTCTTCATCAAATCCCATCATCCTGTGGTTACAAAAAACCTGCTAGTTCAGCTTTGTAACTCTCAATAGATACTTTAGCTGTGCATCTCTGCAGTTGACACTCCATATGCTTTTGTGTTATACAAGTAATAAGCAACAGAAATAAATCTGATCTGAGTAGATGCTTATTTAAGCAGGGAGTTGGACAAGATGATGTCTGGAGGTATTTTCTATTTAATCCATTGAGAAATGGGTTGAAAATCTAAGAAAAACCAAAAACCTACAGCAGCTGAAGAGTAAGTCATACTATTAACAGTAAGCCTATAGATGTTTATTATCTTAACATGCATGCATCTTGTACCCTCTGCACACTTCCAGTGTAGTCACATAAGACCCTCTCCACCTCTGGTGCAGCGTTTTCTTGTTGAATTGTGCCATTGCAGACCACCAGTGCACTGGGCTAACTCAGCCACAGCCTAGGGACACACACAGGTGCACAACATAGTCATCAGCATAAATCTGTTATGTAAACTTGACCAGAGGACACAGGTGCTACTGATACTAATTTCAGCCTTCCTTAAAATATCAATGGTTGAATGTAAGTAGTTAAGGGAAAGTAGAAGAAAAAACCTAAACAAAAACACAACAAACCTACCAACATAATATTGCAATCCCGAGTGTATCTTTTCTTTTAGGTCAAGGCTAAAAAAATACTGTGCGTAACAACTGAGTTCACACTTAAAAAGGAAAACCCTACTTCTAAGTTCCGTATCTATTGTAAATTGAACAGAAATACTTCTGGTCCTCAACTACCTATATTAAAAGTTTATACAGCCTCATGGAAATTACAAAACTCAGAACTAATTTCTCTTTAAAGAGTTTTTTTTTCCACTAGAAGTAGTAAGAAGTCAGTGTCAGATAAATAAAAGTATTCTAAAGCTAACTTTGGCTTAATTACTATAGATATTTGTTTAAATATTTTTGTTTTAAAATACACAAAAATATTTTGACAAAATTCTATAACACTGGAATCTATTCCATACAATCTTTTTTCATGATTTTACATGGCATAACAATTGGCTCCTACAGAATTTTGACAATTATCAGGAACTTACGTGTATGATTTTCCAGAACCAGTCTGCCCATAAGCAAAAAGACAAGCGTTGTATCCCTCAAAAGCTCTTTCAAGGAGTGGCACCGCTAAAGCTTGATAAATAACTGCTTGGCTTGCAAAATTAGGACAACACTTGTCAAAAGACCAGAAGGAGAAGTCATAACTGAAGCTGTAAACTTGGTTTGTGGATGGATTTTGTACAGTTGTCTCTGAACCACTCATGCAGATTACAGGGAGTGAGTTTTCAGTTTTCTCTCTGCATGGAAAGGGAGGGATATTAAAAAAAATAAAAAGTATAAGCTACATGCTTTAAGTTAATAATTTCAATCAAAACAAAAAGAAAAAATAAATAGAAAAAGATTGGTGATCATTGTAAAAATATCCGTTTGATGAACACAAAGTATTAAAGATCAAAACACTGTTAATGAATATATAAACAATAGACCCAAATACCTATAAAGTCAATTCAGTTTCTTAATAAAATCTTCATCTTGGTGTTTCATAAGTATCAGCTACTTTCAAAGTATATATTATATCCTTATTGGGTCAATGATTAAACAATTCAAGAAGTACAAAGCAGAAGTCACCATACACTACGAGCAGCAGAAATAAGTCCAGGATACAAACCTGTTACTGAAGGGCCGGACCCGCACAGCCACAATAACTTTGCTGTTTTTCACTTTGAAAACATCTCCCTCAGTTCTACTGCTCTCATCTAAAGCTTCTGTGTTCACTTCTGCTTCTGAACTTCTACTCCCAGGAAGAGAGTTGGAGACACTACGGGTCTTTTTGGCTAAAATTTGAAGATGAGGTGTTTGTTCATTTGAGGCCAATTTGAGAGACGGCTGATCTTGAAAAGTGCTGTTCTTTGGTGTAAGCTTAAATCCTTCTGTTAAACTTTTTGCTGGGGTCCTTGGTCTTTCCAAACTGTTATGTTTTATCATCAAGTGCTGTACCCTTTGCTTTCCAGCTACCTTATTTATATTGCTTTTTTCATTCAGTTCTCCTGATAGCCTATTAATACATTTTGAGGTAACTAATTGTTCTGATTTAGGAATTTCATTTTGAAATTTTGTATCAGCAGTGTCTGTCTTATCTTTTAAACACGTGGAGATACCATTTTTACAGACACCATCAACAAAACCCAAGGAACCCTTGCTTTTCAAGTTACACTGCAATTTGGTACTGGACTGACCCTCAGCTAACTTCAAGTTTGGTTTAACAACATCAGTATCATTAATATTCTGTGGAGGTGTAACCTTGTAATTTCTTTGTGCATCAGCTGGCAAGTTTTCTTTTCTAGGCACAATATTCTGATTGATATTGCTCTTCCCAGTGGAGCCAGTCCTCACACGCCTCCGCAGAGTAAGTCTTTTCTCTGTTTGTAGCTCTTCCGTGCCCTGTGTTGCATTTGTATGCAATGGTTCACTACTGGACACTGGTTTTTTGCTTACTCCAGTTCTCCTCTGAAGTGTTAACCTGCCTTCAGATGTAAAAGTAGTTGATGCATCACCCACTTTTTCACAAGCTGAAATCACATAAGTCCTATTTACTTCCTCAGCCTTATTCTGAGAACATGGAAGTAGACTATTCTTTTCTTCTCCCAACATCCGTGACTTCAGTTGCTGTCCAGATGCTTTCCTGCTGGCAAAGGTATCATTTGAGGAAGGCTTCTGCAAAGTGGCAGTGCATCGTGTCCCAGTAGGGCTTCTGCCAGGAACTGTGTAAATAGGCATGTTGTCTTCCAGCCCGTTAACACTTGGTTTTTAACAAGCACAGCACCTTTCCTAAAGGATCATTTCTAGTTGCTGCTTCACAAGGAATCTGGGAAGACAAAGCAAAAATTTTTTTTATGATGCTCCCATCCAGTGTGAGTTATGTTTTGGTGCATGGGGAGCTCTTTACATACACTGCAGTACTTGCTCCCAAACATAAATAAATAACAATTAGTATCCTGGTTCACCTCCAGTACTTAAAAAAAGAAAAGTCATTATTTTATATTTGAATGACTGCTTCCAACAACAATAGGCTATTTGACTTTATTTACTGAGTTCTATGATTTGTTGCAGAAGGTTAACCAAACATCACAAAGCACCTGTTGGTAAAAAGAATGATCTAACTATTTAGCAACAAAGATGACCATGGATATTTTTTTCGAGTGATCTACTATGATCCTTAAAGTAAGGAAATTCCAGATCATGCCTCCATTCACTCACACCTATTTATACTCTTAGTGTTTCACAGCTAACAGAGTCCAATAGAACAAAAAAATTAACTTTGAATAAGAAGTCTGTGAACATGGAAAGCAGATTCTTTTTCAGGATTTTGATACATAATATAAAACCCACTATCAGAACAAGACAGTTAATAAAGATGACTATTAATAGTACCTTTGGACATTAATTTAGTTCACTCTAGTACATAGGCCCATAGCAAAACAAAAGACATCTAGCCTAGGGGACAGAAAAAATATATAAGATATGTTCCTCATCCTTCCTACATGTAAATATTTTGAAAGCTGTATATATGCAATCTGCATAGGAAAGTATGTTTTCACTGTTGTATCTGCATCATGGATATTGGGTTGCTACAGGTTTGGTATCACTACCCACTGTAGACTTGCCAGCTGCAATTAATTTACTGTTACAAGAAGTCACCTGACTTAGATCCTTAAAAACTGCATCTATCATTAACAACAGCTGTACATGGTCAGGGGAAAAAATGGGAAGCAAGATGAGAGCAAGTGATGTAGAAGAAACCGTTTAACCACTGCTCCAACAGAAGTTTACATTAAATGCTACACTTTTTAAGTTGTAGCTTTCAGAGCACTCGCCGACTTTATGCACTTACATCCACTTCCGCATGTCATGACTGCACACTTTTCACAGCTCGAAAGTTGTGAGGAAAATATCAAAATTTCAAACCAGAGCATATTTATTGCTCAATCCAGCTTGAGACAGGAAACTATTTACGTCACACGAGTTGTAAAATATCAATTTTGTGGCTCCCTCCGGCAATCAGTAAATAGAGAAACACGGCCGTAAGCCATGAATGGTTTCAGTGTTTTCTGAAAAGTCCACCCTTCCCGTGCAGCTTTAACACAAGTCCTGTAAGAAAGTTCTGCCCTCTCCTTACCATAGCTGTGACTTGTGAACACACATAAAGTTTTTCTGTAGAACAGTGAAACTCCCCATTGAGAGCTCTTTCATTCTAAAATAAGGAACGACGTCCAGTTCGAGAGAGCCGAACTCAGAACGAGAAGTACACTCACCCCTCGTTTTTAAAGGATTACAATCACCAACCAGAGATGAAACCCACGCGCTCAAAGCTGGGTGAAGACGCAGCTTTGGGTACAGGCAGCTCCATTATCCCTCAGCAAAGCTCCTGTCCGTCCGTCCGTCCGTCCGTCCCTCCCTCCCAGCCGAGGCCCGGCAGAGCCCGCGGGGCCGTGTCATGGGCCCGCCCGCACCGACAGGGCGAGGAGGCGGCAGCGCTGCCCGCAGCCCTGCGGCTCCTAAAAGCCCTCCCGCGGAGGGGCAAGCCCCGCCGGGACGCGGAGGGACCCCGTGTGTCCGCCCCATCCCGCCCGGTCCCGCCCGGCCCTCACCTGCGCGCGGGGCCTCCACAACCGCCGCCGCCCCGTTTGAACGCGCCGGGCGCGCGCCATTGGCTGCGCGAGGCACCGCCCCGGGACCCGCCCCGCGGCACCGCCCCCGGGCCGCCAGGGGGCGCCCCTGCGCGGGGACCGGCGGGAAAGGCGAGCGTTGGGAGCGCGGACCGTGAGGGACTGGAGCGTGGGGCCAACACCCATCTCCACCCGCTCCGTACGGCCCACACAAACCTTGGGAGTGCAGTCACACCTCACTGCCACGGATATCCAAGGGATGAGTGGAAATGGGAGAAAATGGGTGGGAAAGGAACTAAAATAACTCATAACGGCCAGGACACTTACACAATGCTGGCACTCCAAGCAACACCAAGGGAAGAAGTGAAAATGGGGTGCTGGGCAAACAATGGATCTGCCCATGAAAGATCCATTGAATTAAAATATGTTATACTAAACTATCTAAACCCAGTAACAATGAAAAATCTTGCTATAGCATAACCAGGTCACTGGTACAATTTCACTTTTACAAAACCTGCACTCGCATTTTGTTCCTGGGGCAAACATGGTGTAGAACTATTGCTTGATCTTATGATTGACAGAGAAATCATGGAATTCGTGTAGGGCAGGGTGCCCAGGGGTAGAGGTGTGTGCAGTTCTAAATATGTGCATGCCTGAGCTAAGTTTGCCTGCAGCAGCATTACACAAAAACAGTCTATGGGCAGGAGTGGGTTATTTCAAACAAGAGAGAAAAATCAACAAATTCCAACTCTAAAGGAGACGTTGTTTTGATATGATGCCAAACTGAAAGTAACACTTAAAGCATGACGACAGTTTTACACATTGTGGTGAATTATGTTGAAGGGAAAAAATGTTGTAAACTGTCAAAGGAATTCAACACTCATAACGTGCCTTTGGACAGGCCACAACTCTCATTTGAGCTTGTGTCTACAATTCAAGATTGGCATCAAATGGCCATATTCAACAACACTCATCCCTGTGTCTCCTCACATTTACAACAGGGTGCCACATTCATATCATCTGTCCTGCAGCATGTAAGACCTACTGTTTTAATTTCTAGTTGAGGAAATTAAAAACAACAGTAAACTACTAAGCTGTTTTGCCACCAAAGTCAATTTATCCCCTTGCTGTCTTTGGCCATACAATGCATAGGGCTAATGCTTAACTACCTGCAACATCTCAGTCTGCCAAAAAGGGATGATGCGTCACAGCACCACAAAAGGTCTGATGAAACTAATTTCTCAAGCCTTAGTCTCAAAGGAAAAAAAAAAAAAAAGAGGAAAGTTCTGATTATGACCTCTCATACTTCAGATGGGAAATCATACAACACTATCTCAATACAGTTTTAACCTCACTTCCCCCAAAAAATGAAGGAGTATCTGATGTCAGAGCATGGCAAGTTCTGCTCAAATAATATGACCATTTATACATTAATTATGTTTCACTAAAGAACAACACAAATTTCTTATGTGTTTTATCTTACATCTCTACAACGAAGCTCCGCTAATAACCAAGTACTGCTGCTACTGTAAAGTGTTTGAGTAGAACATCCCACTGGTTCACAGGCACTAAAGGAGAAACTAAACTACCAGTATTCTTTACAAACAAAACTTGAATATGTTCATAAGAAAGCCCCAGAGAGCACACTGAGAATCTGGAGAAATGTTCCCAGTGGAAGATTTTATGTAAGCTAACAGGAAGAGATTTTCAGAGACTAATCTGTCACCAATTTTTAATGGTTTAAAACGGTGTCCTTTGCAAAGATCTTGTCTCAATATAATGACATAAGAATTACCAGAAGAGTATGTCTCACAAGAAGTCTGAAACTATCATGCAGAAATACTAGAACAAAATAAAAGGTATCTTCTCAGTTCGTGTTGCAAGCAAGACCAAAGACTACTGGTTATAACAGGGTTACAGAGTATTTTTACTAGGCACTACTGTAATTCAAACACACAGCCTGTATTTCAAAATAAAGATGAGATAAAAATGAGCCTCCTTAAAAAACTGACAAACTTCTTTAAAAAAGGCAATACACAAACCATCATTTCATGTTTATTTTTAATCATACTTTCATTGTAATTACATAACTATAAATATATCTTTATTACCTCTGAGAATTATTTTTCTTGTGTTTTCTAATAATGTCCATAATATTATCTCCTGTTACAAAGCTATTTTGTAACTGTTTAAGTCTCTGTTGTTCCCTTCTCTTTTGGTCATGCAGATATGGGGAATTAAGCAGCTGTGGGGGAAGAATGGTGCCTGTAGGTTTTACTCTTTTTACAACATCCCAAAAGAGCTTCTTGCTGTTGTTATTGATAAAAGTAATTGCAGTTCCACTGTGACCCAACCTTCCCGCTCTTCCAACCTGAAAAAGCATGAATTAATTTTAAGTTATCAATACTAAATGGAAGTCCTTCAAATAGCCCTAAAGTTTATTTTCTGTTATAAAACAGTAAGTAGCCTAAGTGACAGGGTCAAATCTCTAACACAAAGTTACTTACAAAATACTTCCTGAATTCAGGATATGTAGATCTGAAGCTTTAGCTTAAATGCATCTAAAGTTATTACTTGCTTATGGGACATACCAGAAGTCCACTATTGATACTGAGACATGTGACACAGCCTACAGGCAAAAGCTTATAGTAGATCTGATCCAAATAAAATGTTATTCAAAAATCTTTATTACAGAGATGTCACATACATGTATCAAGTACAATATGTACCAGCACGGCCATAAAAATGCCCTTTACTTTCTATGTTCTAGTAACTTTAAATTATTTGCCAACAATGTTTATGACTAGTTTCCTGACTATTTCATGCATATCCCACACTGCAGACAAACTGCAGCAGATAGAGGGATATTCGGCCTTTCTTCACACAGATAGTAAAAATGGTAAACTTTGCTTTCTATAGACACAAAATTCTACAAGAGTACAAAACAGAAAGAATAATACTGCAAAAATAATTGACATAAAAACACTCTTCTAGGTTTTAGTAACTTATATAGATGAGAGACAAGAGCAGTGTTCTAGATTTTAGTAATTTACATAGGAAACTTATAGAAGAGATATCCCACATCTTTCTTTCTTTTCCTAAAAAAATCAGTATTCTGAAGAGGAAAATAATCTTTCTTTTTACATTTAAATTTGAATTTCCACAGGTGGATATCGTATTGATATACTTTTCAAATAAGGTTTTAGCAATTTATTTATTTACCTGGTGTACATATTCATCCATACTTGAAGGCATATCAAAATTCACTACCAGTTTGACGTTGACAAGGTCAAGCCCTCGTCCAAGGACTCCAGTACTTACTATAACTTCATACTTCTCTTGAAGTAATCCCTGGCAAGGGAGGAACAAATAAAAATTAGTTCTTTTTAGCTCATTTTTATTTTGAACTGCTCCAAGCATAGGCTAAGGGCTAGTGTGTAAGAACAGTGTAAGAACACAGCAAGTGGGATTATTCTATTGTAGAAAAGATAATGGCTCCCCTGTATTCTTGATTTAAACAGGAATATAATCCACAGAGATAATTCAAGAGAAATCAAAACCACAATTTTAACTCTAAAAAATAATCAGTTTAAGATAATGCATTTAAATTTCAATTTCTAAGCAAATAACCTAGGAAATAGTCTCCAGTATTTATCTACATTTAAAATGGCATTATTATCTTCAGTTTTGTTTGGCCCCATCTGTCTCCCCCAGCACTACCCCAGGTATTACTGCAGAAAAGCAGTCAATTATGACTTCAGTCATTCAAGTGAAGCCACCTTAAAAAAAATGGCCTTTTAAAAATCTACCAAAACTCCCGTAACTTCAGGAGGCACAAACCTGTAATATGTCTGTTCTTTCCACCTGAGACTTTTCAGAATGCATAGCTGTGCACTGCAATCCTGTAATCTTATGAACAGCATCACTCAACAGATCTGCTCCTAGTTTACAGTCCACAAACACTAACACTGGAGGCTTGAAAAGCTTCTCATCCTGTAAAATTAAACAGTTCGTATAAAAAGGTAACCATTGGAAACCACTGGCTGCCCATCATCAGCATGGATTAAATTTCTTCTGCTCTTTATCTCCAACATTAACAAGACTTTCAGATGAACAGATGTTTCTAGACTTTAGATAAGAACAAGATACCAGCCATGAAACTTTACAAAGCTGTACATTA